TTTCCCCATAATAAAATGGAATAATAGTAATTCCCACCACAGGGGGCAGATGTTAGGATAAGATTAGATAACCTATAAGACAGGGCTCAACACACAGTAGGTGAGCAAACCATGTTTCTTTCTTCTTTCCCACTGTGCTCGCTCCTCCTGCCTGGCACTGTCACTAGGAGGAGTTTGCCCTGAAAATACTGTCTCTGGACGGGGGTTTCAGATCACCCTCCCAGGGGTTCAAGGGCATATCTGGCCCTACCTGGAACATCACCTCCACCCTGATTACAACAAGGTTTCACCTGCCTTCTTGAGATGTGGCTGGTAAGAAACTGTTACATCATCACAAGCTGTTATTGTTTCCAATGCAACCACTACACAAAAAGGGATTAAGCATTTCGTGGAGGTGTTTGTTTAGCTAACATATCTTTTTTAATACCCTTTGTAACCGTTTACAGGAAAAAGAAAATCAAATGCAACTTAGCAAGCTCCAAAATTCTCAATGGGGCCAGGAGTGAGTGTAATGTGAAATGATTTGATTGGGGGTTTGGAAAAAAAGAATCTTTCCTTTCTAGAGCAATAGCTGGCTTGGGACTTGGAGTGTGTGCGTGCGCGTGTGTTTCTGGGAGATAGAAGACTCCAAAAGAGGGCTGGACCACAGGAAGGCCGACTCTCTTCCTAGCCCATAAGGTGGCCTGAGGAGCTGTCTTTCCACTCTGAGGATGAAGGGATGTAAAGATGTTGGGATGGTTACTGTCTCTGGCAGATGCAGCGCCCCCCTTCCCCCCGCTGCAAAGAGGTTGCAATTAATGGGTAGAGCCACGTGATATGGGGTTAACCCCCACCTCCCGACACAGCATGAGGCTCAGGAGGAGTTTATCCTCACTTGACCAAGAAGCCTCCCTGAGTTTCCATGGATGTGTTATTTTTCATGCGATATTTGCCCATCCATCCGTCGATCCAATAAATATTTATTGAGTATCTACAGTGTGTCCAGCATTGCAGTTCAGAGATGAGAAAAATCACCATCTAGAGAGGGGAAGAGTTTTCCCCAAGGCCACCTTGTTTCTTAGAGCAGGGACTGAGGTTTTGGGAAGTGAACATCAGGCACAGGGATGTGTAAGGAGGACCATGGAGCCTCATGGAACTGGGAGAAACTGAGGGTTCAAGGAGCCAGAAACCTGCCTTCTCTCACCTCTCTGGGCCTCAGTTTCCTGTAAAAAGAGCTTATTGGGCCTGACCTCTAGAGCAAGTTCCAAAACTTGCAGCAGGTGATTAAAAACCTGTGGTTCTGCCCCTTTCTAAATGCATGCCTTTGGGCAAGTCTTGTCTCTGGGCCTCAGTATCCTTGTCTGTAAATTGGGATAACATCAGCACCCGTATCACTGTTGTTGCTATAAAGATGAAATGGGATGGTGCACTTGCTAAGGAGCTTAGCAGGTGCCTGGCACACAGTAGGTGCTTAATAACTCTATTTTTCAGCACCTCTAAGGGTAGACTTCCTTCCCATCCTCTGAGCCAAGAAGGAACCTGGCTAATCCATGTGAAGTATGAGCTCTGTTTGCCGTTGCCCAGGAGGTCAGGACCGCCGCTGGTCCCCAGTCCCCTGCCCCGGCGTCAGCAGTGGCTGGGGAGGCTGTTGCCAATTTGCTGTCTGGGCCCTGCCATTGACTCCTGACAGCTCCCCAGGGACAGGGCTGCTGCCTCCAGCTGCTGCCCCTGCCTTCCCTGCGCACAGCCATTGAAAGTTAACGGTCAAACTCAGCCCCGGGGGATGGAGGGGCCAGGCAGATGCTTGGGGGGCTGCAAGAGGGTTGGACAGAGGCTGGATCAGCAACCTGAGTGGTCCTTGGAGCGGTTCTCTGGAGACACAGGAGGGCGAATGAGAAGCCCATAAACCTCTCCTAGGCTATTATTTGGGTAGAAAAATAGGAGTGGTTGGAAGCGAGGAGTTGCTGCATAATCACAAAACTCCCCCCCCATTGGAAAGTGCTCCGTCCCAGGCCTGGCTGATCACCTCACCCCACCGGAGGTGCAGAATCCTCCTGACAACCTGCAAATGGCTCCATTTCACAGAGGAAGAAATTGAGGCTCAGAGAAGGGCAGTGACTTGTCCAGCGTCACACCACTGCCAGGTAATGGAGCAGTTTATTCTGTCCCAGCACCTGTGTTCTTTGCCACAATGCTCTCAGGGTGCGACAGCTTCAGGTTCAAGTCCCCACTTGACCCTCACTAGCTGTGTCATCTTGTTAAGCCATTTAAATTGGCTGAGCCTTGTTTTCCTCATCTGCCAAATAGGCACAAGAGGGCTACCCTCATGGGTGGTTTGGGGGATTTGGTGGGGATTTATGCTGAGAGCCTGGCACAGGAAAGACAGGTAGTAAAGTGTTCAGAAACCACCACCAGCTACTATTATTATTGTGAGGATGATGATGGTGATGATGATGATGATGATGTTTTTCTGTCTTCTGGATATCCTGGCTGTTCAATACAGGAAAACCACCCTGAATCCATGCAAATAGGAAAGGTTCGTGTCAGGCAGGGCACCTGAGCACCTCTGGGACCAGCGCGGATGGGGACAGGCCTGCTTCTCCTCCCCATTCCTCCAACCCCTACCCTGTCTGCTGGTCAGTGAACTGGGTAGGCATTGCCAGGCCCATGAAGAAGGTCTCTGCCTGCCCTTCCCTGTTTTTGGAGAAGGGCAGCTGCCCAGTGTCATAGACAATTTGTGAGGTGGGTTGGCCCAGACACATGGAGCCAGGACCCCAGGGCCTCCAGGGCTGAGCCTGTTGGGCAGTGAGTGGGCACCTGGATTTAGGGGTTCTACCCCTCCCACACACAGTTCCTCCACACTCCACACCCTGAAGACCCTCATAGACCCGTCTCTTACAGAAAGCCAGAATTGTGCATGTAACTAAGTGTTAAAAGCAACAGCAGGTACTAGATATGCGTCTCTTGCTCTACGAGCTTTATTTACTTAATCCTCCCAGCAACCACAAGAGGGACGCACCTTAATCATGCCCATTTTATAGATGAGGAAACCCAAGCAAGTCATGGGACAGGCCCAGAGCTGGACTTTGAACCCAGTCTAATTCCTGGCACCTGCTCTCACCCTCTGCCTCCCTGACCTCGGAGCTTTTACAGGGCCCTTTTAGGCACCAGTAAGAATCCATGTCCTTAAGCTCTTACAGCCAGCCTGGGAGAAGGACCAGCTCTCTCACAGGCTTCCAGCTAGAAGGACAGAGGAAGAGAGTCATCCTGAATACTCAGTGCCTGCCTGGTGCCAGGTTCTTCCATAGATAATATCTCATTTAACCCTCGAGAGGTAGCTTTTATTATCCCCATTGTACAAACCAATTAAACTTCACAGGCAAAATTGCCCAGAATCATACAATTAGCATGCGGCAGAGCCAAAAATGGTTGTTCTCATGGAGTTATAACAACTCCTTGCAGTGGGTACTATTTCTAGCCCCACTTTACAGATGAAGAAACTGAGGCTCAGAGAGCTCCACACAGATGAAGAAGGTGGGATTATAAGGGACTACAGAGCCCGAGCTGCTAACCCTTATCCTGCCCCAACCCCACTTGCCATTACTTAAATGCTGTTAGCATTGGAAGGAAGCCAAAGGTCCGTTGTTGTGTGATCTTGGAAAAAGCCATTTTGCTTCTCTGAGCCTCAGTTTCCTCACCTGTACAACAGGGCTCATCAGAGCAGCCTCCTGGGCTAAGGAGAGTGACGGGAAACTGGCACACAGTAGGTACTCACAAACTGCCGTGCACCTGGCCCCAGTTCTGCAAATATCTGTTTGAATGTGTGGCCTCATTTGAATCTCAGAAGGCAGCCTCCAGGCCCATAGCCCTTAGGAAGCAGCCTCCCCCTAATTGGGGGCTGTGGTCTGCCCCAGCAGGCACTGCTGGTAAGTTGCAGTGGCCCCAGGAGGCCAGACAGCCCCTGGGTAAACAGGGCTGATCCGAGGTGACAGCCTGCCCTTCCCTGGCCACCCCAGTCCTGTTCCCATTCCATAATCTGGCTGGTGCCCCCTCAACCTACAGACATGGTGCTTGCCTTGGGGGGTGGGGCCCTGGGAACCAGGTCAGGCCTCCCTGGGCTCAAGGAAGAGAGGCTGGGAGGGGATTCCGGGTCCTTCTTTTCCTCCTCCTCCCTTGTGGTTGCTTTGTGATCTTGGACCAACCCCTTCTCCTCTCTTGGCCTCAGTTTCCCCATCTGTAAAAGAAGGGGCTGAACTGGTTGACCCCTCAGGGCCTTTCCAACTCTGAGGTTTGAAGACAAAAAGGGGAAGGACTTTGAAGACTTCCCCCCACCCCATCCCTTGTACCTTGCTTCATCCTGTTTCAAGAAATCATTTAGTTTGGCCTCAGTTTCTATTTGATTTACTCTTCAAACACATGAGACCTAGAAGGGACCTTAAGATCATCTAATTCAATAGCATCATTTAAACAATGAGGAAATAAGGCCCAGAGAGGACAAAGGACTTGCTGAAAGTCACACAGCCAGGCTAAGAACACTAGAGTTCTGACTCACAACTTTCCCAACATCCAGGGAGGATGGAAGCCAAAACCCCCCAGAAAGCTTTTTTTTTGGGGGGGAGGGATTTTTCCTAGAGCCCCCACTAGGGCCACTTGTAAGGAAGCAATAGCTGCTATTCTCATCTGAACATTCACCAGGATGCCCAGTCTCTAACCCAGGAGGGACCTCTCTCAGAGAGGACACGAGACTGCAGGCATTTAGTGGTCCCGCTGGGCTAGGCCACAAGCCCAGACATCCTCTGAAGTTGAGAGACCAACTTTGAAAGCAAGTACTTCTAGCTCTTGTGCAAAATCACAGAATTATATGTAACAATAGTTCTTGGGCAATTTCAGAGACTATAAATAGCACATAAACTTTAAGCAATTAAAAAACAGAGAGTTTGTCATTGTTGAAGCCCTCACCTGTATTCCTGTGGAGAGGGGTGGTGATTTTGCCCTGAGTTTCGAATAACTCCNGCCCTCACCTGTATTCCTGTGGAGAGGGGTGGTGATTTTGCCCTGAGTTTCGAATAACTCCTGACATTATGGATGAGATGTCACTTTCTATCATGTCCTTGGGGAAAAGACAAGCAGAAGACAAAGCTCCCATCAGCGATGATGTGGACAGGGCAGAAACCCACAGTTTTCCCACAATTCAGAAGGATGGAGCTCAAAGAGCTAACAGAAAACTATTTTTTTAAGGTGGGGGGGAAGTACTAGAGGATTCCTGGGCATCACAGGTCACTTTCCCAGGGCAATTCTACAGGGTTTTAGAAGCAAATGAAGAGAATGGAATGAAATTCCAGATTCTTTGGAATTAATGGGGGAAGGGCAGAAGGAAGGCTCTAGAATCTAAATGTCAAGTCTTCGAAAATGTGGACTCGCAAATAGGAATCAGAAAGACATTATTCCCTTCCAAGCCATATACTTTCAATCTCAGTTCAGTTACGATCATTTTGAAAATAAAAACTAAAAAAGAGTAGCTGGATGTGTCATGTATGTTTTTCAAGGGGGAACCAAATTCCCACTTATAAAGGAAAAAATCCCCGCAGGGCTCTCTCCCTGGAAATGCTTTCAGAAATGTCACATGTCGCTGCTGGAAAACCAATCTAACCCCCCACAACACCCCCATCACACACAAACACAGCCTTTAAAAAAAAAGAAAAATCTTCGAGGGTCCCTAAATTTCTCAAACTCCAATCCTGAAACGAACACAGAAACCCACTGAAGACTCTCAGTTCCGCCCCCAAAGTCATTGAGGGGTTCTTGGGAAGGAGAAAAAGGGAGAAGAGGGAGGCGCCCCGAGCCCCTGCACCGGGGTCTCTACCCTGGAAACGCAATGCGGGGCACTGCCCGGGAGGAGAGAGAAAAGCCGACCCTGCAAGGCGGTACCTGGAGCCGATCCTCGCGGGGCCGCCGCCGCCGGCGCTCCTGGGGCGGGCGGCCGTTCGGAGGGGGCTCTCTCGCGCTCTCCCCTCGCGTTCCGCAGTTTGGCCGCCGTCGCAGCTCGAACCGTTTTTAAATTTCCCTCTCTGGAGCTGTCCAGCTCAGAGCATGCGCAATAGCCGTGCGAGGGGCTTTTCCCCAAGGGTCAGTTACAGGGCAGGGTCAAGGGGATTGCAGCGGGCGTTTCCCAGCAGCAGCTAGCCTTGCACGCCCCGGGGCTCCGGGCGGGGAGGGGAGGGTATGGGGGGGCGGGATACAGGGGTAGAGACACCCCCCTTCGAACTTTGCCCGCAGTGGCAGCAACTGCATGCCGGCAAGCATGCGTTGAGGAGCCGTGGGAGGGTGATTCAGGCCAAAATAATTAAGCTGCAAAAGGATGCTGGGTGCATTAACACTTGCAATCCGTCACTGGCCAGGGGCAAAGGAGGTGGGTGGGCGGAGAGATCTGGTGCAACCCCCGCTATTCCCCCAAACGGGGACTGGCCAGGAGGCAGAGTCAGGGCCCCAGGTAGAGGCAGATTCGGGCCACCTGTCTCTTTAAGAAAGTTGCGCCCGCGCGGG